TATCGATGCATCCCTACTTTTGGGCGTAAAGGCTTCTTGTCGCTATTACATACAGTAATAAGAAGTGCTTGCCATGAAACACATGCATTTCCCTTTGGATAAAACTTGTTTCTTTTCACTTCACCTTGAAATGCTCTTGAATCTTCTTCAGTAGCTTAATAATTACTTTTGTTATATAAAAAAATAATGAGATCCCCAGCGTTACATTTAATGATCCAGGCACACACTGACACAGAAATAGAGGCTAGAACAACATCTAAGAATATTATCCCCTGTCTGATAAGTGCTAACTAGAAAATGTGATAATCTATGCATAGCATAGCATGAACCGAGCCTATTTTTTCCCCTTGTCGTGGTGGGAGAAAGAAAGGCTCGTTTTTACATTTACGCAAGCCAGCTGAAGCAGTGCTGGCACAAAGCAAGAAACTTCTTTTACAAAGCTTTATACTATGCAGGCCAAGGTCGCTGTTATCAGGAATAGAAACACGGTGTTGGCAGCGTTCTGTCCGGGATTGCCACTGTTTCTTCACTGCAACACTGTAATTAATTTAGTCTAGCGTGATATAATGCTGAAAACACTGCGAAGTAAAGTAGGAAAGGAAATGATACATTGCAGTGTTGGGATGCGAGTTTGAGCATTTGAAGATGTGTAACTTCTTTTCGTGGCTCATGATAGTCCAAGCCTGTGATTGGACTCTGATACTGTATCTAATCTGCTATATATTTTCCACATTTGTGATCGAATGATCGTGTGCTTTTTACTAGACAAGAAGTGTTGATTAGAGAATTCGGACAGATCTTGATTATTGAGATCTTGATATTTAGAGTTTCACTGAGCGATACTTTGCATAAGTATTCACCCCCCCTTGGACTGCCTTTACTTTTATGTAAAGCGCCTTGAGAGACCTTTGCAAAGGCGCTATTTAAAATAAAGTTTACTTCCTTCCGAGCTTTATTTTTCTTCGTAATGTCTCTGTACACATTTAATAAGAGGTCATATATGAGTCATATGCTTTTACATAAAAACTGAATGATCACCTGTTGCTTTTTTTTCGCGTGCTAGTTTGAGCAAACGGTTACCGAGACTCAGAGATTCACACTAAACCCAAGGGTTGAAGTAGCTAGCAAGAATTTTAGCGCTAACAAGCTTAAAGAAGCCTTGTGTTCACCAACCAGCTTCGACTTCTACAACTAGCTCCACATTCAGACTTTTGAGATTTCTAAAACGAAATTCTTACTTCATGTATCACTAGCATTGCTTTTCCACCCTTTTCAGCAGTATGGCAGGATGCCGACTGGCTCGTGACTGATCTTTCCAAATTCAATAACACTTCCTTTTTCCTCCATTTTGGATGGATCTACTGCTAAAATGAGCTCTCTGAGGCTTTCTTCTGTAACACAAACCACTGAGTCTCAGAGCCAGTGCTCTCCTGTGTAGTTACACGTCTCACCACCGGGTTACGAATGACTTGTGTTTGAGTGTTTCTTATATTTTAGAGGACAATAGGACTAGCAAAAACCATAAAAAAAAAGGAGATTAAGCAATGCAGGAAGCGATGCTAATAGTCAGTCAGGGGTATGAATCATAAAGGAAGTCCCATTCTTTCCTGTTTTTCTCACTCCTCTTATAAGTGATGTACTGAAAAGAAAAGAGCGAGACAGTTACCAGCGGCTTTACATATATTTCAGAATCGTACAGATAGTCGGCTGATAGTTGGGCGTCCACGCTTTCTGGTACTACAGCTCCAATTCCAGTCATCATTCAAATGAATAAATTTATCGGGCTTTAAATTTCCTCCATGTTGTATTCATTGCTCTCTCAGGTTGACCTGATCCTCTCATTAAAGCACCATCCTTCGCTTACGTGAACACCGAGCTGTCTCATAAACATGCCCTTTAAAATACACATTTGCGGCTGATTAAAATAAGGACTGGGTCCCAGAAAATGGTGATGAAAGCCTGGGTTCCCTCGGAGTCATTCATTAAGATGATAGCTCAGTCTGTTTATTTTTCTCAGAGGACACGAAGGAGAGAAATATTGGAAGGATGTCAGGAAGTGGAAAGAGAGGGAGAGAAAATGAGAGCCGAATAACAGAACGAAAATGATACAGCTCAATTTTGGAATAAAATATTATACAGTCACGCGAGTCATCGACAACTGGGCTTGAGGACGAAGACACCTTGACTCTTAATCGAGAGGCATCCTTGATCTAATTCATTGGTGCAAGAGAAAGATTAAATACAAGCACTATCTTAAAGAAATTGTTCTTTCGTACCCGTGCGTTCAACTTATCTGCGTAAACTAACGTGATTTATGGTCATGTGACAGGCTAACAAAAAATCACATAAGCAGTAATACACTCCACGTCGTTCTGTTATCGGAGAAAAACTCAGCAATGGGAAGGTGTGGTGAAGCAGAGTTACTGTTATGACCTTGAAGTTGATTCTTTTCCTGTAACAGCACAACCTGAAGTGTTTTATTCCCCCTTTTTC